AGCCCGACGCGGGGCTCGAACTTACGAACCGTGAGATCGTGACCTGAGCTGAAGTCGGACACTCAACTGACTGAGCCCTCCCCAGGCGCCCCTTTAAATTGCATTTTAAAAACAGACATGTCTACGATATTTTCTTCTTTCACCACGGATTAAATTCCCGCATGGTAAGACTAGTCGATCCTGCTTAAGGCCCTTCATCGTGTATCGTTTATGTTAGCATTTAATGGAAGCTGCTGAAACGTTCACGAGAACGCCCACAGAGAAGTATGAATTGTGCCCAAGCCTGTACACTTTCAATGTCTTTGGTGCAAATCCCGCGACGAGGCGAGAATTCAAGCCGTGTGTGTTTCTCGCAGCCCTCAGGCTCCCAGACCTGCCCGCCGGATTGGTCCTTCTGGCACATGACAACTTAATGTGTCTTTAGAAGGTGGAGAAGCTCATTGAGGCCATTACGAAAATGAGGAGGAACACAGATTTTATGAGTGTAATAAAACTACAATGATCTAGACCATAAACTAATCACCTAACACTCCACTTGTGCTACCCAAGTGTGACATTGGGAAGCCCTCATTTGGAGAGGGGCCTCCCCTCCGCATGGCCCCCGCTCGTTGGGCCGCACTCGGCACTTCCATTCAGGGGCCCGCCCGGCTCTCCGAAGACTTGCTTAAGATTAAATCCAAATGAAACTTAATTTAAACAAACAATCCCAAAGGCGCTCTTGGGGATCATATTTCTTTTTAGGTCACCGTGTGTAAGAGCAGGGAGGGGAATTCACTAAATCAAGCAAACAGGCGGCCCGCTCGGGCGCCAACATCACGAGGCCGTGGCGGCTCTGAGCCTGCCAGCTTGGGGGGCCTGCACCTGTCTGTGAGCGGGGGTCGGGCACGGCCGAGTCCAAGCGGCTGGCCCTCATCGCACGCTGCGGAAAGTTCACGTGGACTCTGCCGGGAGACAAGGCACCAGGGGAAGTTCCAGCTAACTCAGGTTCCGCTTATAAACAGGGACAGCTTCCACCATTTCCCCTCCCTTGGCCTGGTTTTCGTGGGGGCAGCGCCCAACTCCAGGGGGAGTTTCTCCTCCAGGAAGCTGCTGTCGGCTCAGGGGCCCCACCAAGTCTTGGAGGCGTCCTGAAACGGGCAGTTTGCCGAGCGAGTGAGCTGACCGGGTCAGGGCCACACGCGGTGATTTCTAGCACTCTTCTGTTAAGTGTCCAAGAACAGGACAGGCTCTAATCCACCATGACGGGGTCCTTATAAGAAGAGAGAAACTCCACGTGAGAGCAGACACAGCAGATAGCAGGGGAAGCCACGTCACGAAGGAGGCGGAGACCGAGTGACGTGGCCACAGGTCCCGGACGGCGTGGGGCCGCGAGACGCTGCAAGGAGGACGCCCCTCTCACCACTCAGCACGGCCCCAGGGCTCTCAGAGAATACACCTGTTGTCAGCCCCCCCAGCTTGCGGTCATTTGTTGCCGTAGACCAGACACGGGTACGTTAGCCCCTGAACAACTGGGGGTGAGGGGCGCTGACCTCCGCGCAGTCGAAAATCCATGTTTCACTTCTGACTCCCCCAAAACTTCACTACCGAGAGTCTCACCGATAACATGAGCGGCTGATTAACACATATTTTATATGCCGTATATATTATTTGCTACGTTCTCATAATAAGCTGGAAGAAAAAAAAAATGCTGTTAACAAAGTCATAAGGACGAGACTACCTTTATAGCGCTGTCCTGTACTCCGCGTGGCGTGGGCCCCGACAGCTCAGACCCGAGCCCCAGGCTCCGCTTTGTGCTCGCCGTGCGTGGCCTTCCCGGGGGTTGGGCACGCCAGCTCTAAGCTGCATATACTAACCTAGCTAGAGCAGGTGCAAAGAAACCGTAGCGTCCCTTCATCCGAAGTCTTTTTCGGGTACTAACCATTCAGCAAACCAAACTCTTTCGAAGCCCCGCCAAGACCTGATTAAAGGAGAGGGGCCCGCCCCAAACAGCAGACGCCCAGGCCGTGCTGTCTGCCAGGGACCCAGTTCCTCCAGACTCACCTTTCTCCTTCCTCTACCTAGATCTCTTGTGATGTGTCCCTCTCCACCCTGTATCACCCTTATCACGAGCTCCTGTCCTTCTCTCACCAGACTGGCATCTGAAAGGAGCCTAGACGCTGGGCTGCCTGACGCCCCTACCCTCCGCAGGGGCTGGGACGGTGATGTGTTAGAGCGGATGCTTGATGGAAAACAATACGTACGTTTGAAAGACGTCATTTGAGTATTTCTGTGAAAAGAGATAACTCAAAGAAGAATGCTGTCAAAGCCATGCCGTCCCAGGACCCGCTTAACGTACAGAAGAGCTCTTTTATTTTTTATTTTTTTATAGCCCATAGACCGTTTGCACTCACGTCGGAGCAGCTGGTACGAAGTAGACGGCTCTCCCCAGAGTGGGCTCCACACCCCTGCAATCCTGACCGCGAGGTTCGTTTCGGCGGTACTTGCTTTCGTGGGTGGAACGGAGGTAATCTTAAGTCTGGCCACGAAGAAGGAGGCTGACTCACATTTTTAAATAATAAGGAGTCAGTTTTTGAGGCTTAACAGCACATGCATTTCACTCCTTGTGAGCTCGCAGACGTCAGCTCTGCTGTGGTCTCAAATAGATCAAATAAGAGAGAACCCACAAGTGTCCGTAACGCCTCTGGCAGAGGAGACCCCCCTGTCCAGAACACAGGCCTCAGCGACGTGGTGTTAAGCCTTCCAGTTCTGCTTCTGCCCTGCAGTCCCGGGCTCGGTGTCGAAGCGTGCACTTTGGAGACGGTGATCTGAGCGGGTGACGGGTAGTAACGTTATGTCTTCTGTACGACTCACAGCACCCCCAGCTGACCTGCTTCTTAGTAAACAAATGTGTCCGCGTGGGCTTCCCTTCGAGATAAAGCGACGGGGTAGCGGAAGGCGACGCTGCCCACAGTGCTGGCGGCGGCCGCGGAACGCGGCAGGGGCAGGTGGGCAGGAAGCGCGCCTGGCGGCCGTGAAGGCGGGTCCTGAGCCCAAACCAGTCACGGCCTCCACGCGATCTTCTGTACACAGCAGCCCCCGCCTCGGGAATAGTTTTGCCCCGGCAAGAAAGAGCCCTCTTCAGAAGACGCAGCGGCCCGTTTCGTCGTCCAGCAGATGGGACGCGGCTGGGTGTGAGCGCCTGTCATTCGGGAGTTTCCAGAGCTCCGCGTGGGACGTTTTAGTCCAACCTGTGAGCAGTCCCTGTGGCGGTATTCCCAACAGGGATCTGCCCGCATAGGACGTTACCGCACCTCAGGGACCGGTCACCGCTTAGGACCGTTCACAGTCCCCAGCCTGCTTCACCTTTCAGGTTAAATATGCACCTGACATATTGTATCCTAGGTAAAAACGCCCTGCTCTGGTGGCCATTTTTCTTTTCAAGATGGGAACCTGATATCAATGCATCAGATCCAGTTGTGTATCCCAGAGGAGGAGGAGGAAGGGAAGGGGGGGTGAGGGCAGATGAGGAGGAGAAGGTAGACAGGAAGGAAGAAAGGAAGGAAGGAAGGAGGAAAGATAGAAGGGAGGAAGGAAGAAGGAAGAAAGAAGGAAGGAAGGAAAAGAAAGGAGGGAAGGAAGAAGGAAGGAAGGAGACAGGAAGGGAGGGAGGAAGGAAGGGGACAAGGGAACCAGTAAGACACTTACGAGCGCAATAGCGAGCATG